CACCAGGCCGGGTCGCCCCGCGCCTGCCCAGCCCGGGCCGGGGACAGACCCGGCAGACACGGGCAGAGCGAGGCCGCGCGTACTCACCCGGCTCGGAGCCTGAGCTAGCGCCGCCAGAGAATGGAGAAGGGCATGAAGCGGCCGGGGACCGCGCCGCCCAGGAGGCGGCTCCTGCGTGCGGACACGCCTCCCACCCCGAGGCGGCCCGGGGCGGGTCGGCCCTGTGCTCCCGCCTGGCTTTGCACCCCCTGAGCCGGTCCTGGGGGCGGGAAAGGGGCGGAGGGCAGGTGATCGTAAAACCTTGAGCCAGGAGTGGGGTAGATTCTGGATGCTTCCCAAACTCCATCCGCGTGCGTTTTCACAAAGCCTTGGGGACGAGACAAGGACCTCCCCAGCCTACGGAACAGGAAACTGAGGCCGTGGGGGTTACAATACTTACCTTACGTCACATGACAAGGTTCAGCTTCCTCAACTGCATAATGTACCTCCCTATTTGTTTGGCCTTCTCTTTTCCTAGGACTGTTGCGACTTTTAAATGAGTTAATTGTGAAAAAAAAAAACAAAACTTAATTTCTTCAAAGGTATTACAGAAAGCCAAGACAAAGTTATATTTATACCAAAGATTTGAGTGACAAAGTCATACATTCTGTTTAGGCATTAGCCAGATAGGTGCCCCTCCCGGGGCTGACATGGGAAAAGGAGATTCTGGAGGAGCCGCCTGATCTACCCGCCTCCAAAGTAACAAACCGAGGGAGACCCAGAGCTGAGGTCTGAGCAGGAGATCTGGAGCTAGACAGAGCCTACAGTCAGCGCTGACGCTGTGATCCTGGGTAGAAGCAAGGAGACCCGAACTGAGCTCCTGCCTCAAGCCAAGACCACTGACGAGCCCTGAAGCAGTCCCAGGTCCCTTGTGCTCTGGGCACAAACGGGAAACTCTCTCGGGGGGAAGCATCCTTAATTTGGTCCTAGAGGAATCAAGCAAATACAAGCCCTCTGAATCTTTAGAGAGAGATTTTTTTGCTATAGGGTGTGTGTGCTCGCCAGAGAGACAGAGGGAGACAGACAGAAAGCGAGAAATCACCACCACCACCCCACACCACCCCCGGGGGGTTGGCCACACCACGATCCCTTCTCCTCCTCCCAAAATCTCAGGATTTGGGGCATGTACACGCCCCTGGTGTGAGTTTCAAACACCAGGTCCAGGACTCAAACCGGGAACCTAGCCATTAAGCTATCTGCTGATTCCCACCTCCCCCACCCCGAGTCTTTAAAAAAAAATCAAGAAGTAGAGCAGGCCACTCATGAATGACAGTAGAACTAGAACAGTAACTAATAGATTAGTCCTCCAAGGACATGTTAAAAGAAAAACATTTGACAAATTTAGTGGAGATTATCTGAGCATAAAACAATTCACGAATCAGGCAGCATTGAGATCCAGAAGAGATGGAGAGAGTTCTGTGTTGTGGTGGGTATTTATAGACAGAAGCAGGTAGGAAACAGCTGATTACAGGTAGCCAGTTTGCCTTATTTGAACATGGTCTGATCAGTTGGTAGGTTGTGCTTTGTTGAAATTTGGCAGCTTGTGGTTTGGTGAGGCCAGGTATCTGTTTAATATACACATAATATTTTTTATATAATATATATACATTCTTTTTTTTTTGGAGAGGTTTTTGCTATAAGGCGTGTGCGCTCATCAGAAAGACAGAGAGAGACAGAGAGACAGAAAGCAAGAAATCACCCCCTGGGGGGGATGGCCATGCTGCAATCCCTTCTCCTCCATTCTCCTCTCGGGATCTTGGGAACACATGCACACGCGCCAGGCCTGAGTTTAAGCCTCCAGGTCCGGAACTCAAACCTCAGTCAACCACATGGAAGTCCAGTGACATAGCCATTACAACATCTGCTGGTCCCTAAAAAATATTTACTTTTGGGGCCACCAGGTGGTGTGGTGGTTAAAGGCACTGGATTCCCACATGGCCTACCGTGGTTTGAGTCCCGGACCTGATGGCTTGTTCTGTCTCTCTCTCTCGCTCTCTCTAGCTCTTGTTCTCTCTCTGTATCTGATCAAATTGAAAATAATCAAAATAAATGGAATTAAATAAATAACTTTTCTAAAATTTTACTTTTAAAAAAATTATTTTATTTAGCTTTATTTATTTATTTAATTTGACCAGAGGGAGAGAGAGCGAGAGAGAGGAAAGTGAGAAAGCAAGCTGCCAGGTCTGGGACTTGAAGCACAGTTGCCTGAGCGGGAGTCCAGCACCCCTAACCACCATGCCTACCTGCCAGTCCCTCAAAATATTTACTCCTACTTTACATTTTGGGTTGTTTACATGCTATGCTAGATCACAGTGTGTTATGTAGGGACCCAAAGTACATAAACAGATTGAGGCCAAGTTTAATTTAACAATTCCCACTCTTTGGTCAACCTCTCAATTTTGAGATATAGACCAAAACCTCAGACATTGATGTCACTTTCTGTCACCATCATAATGGACTTCTTTGGTCTCAGGATGGCCTTCACAATTTATATCCTCACTTCAGTTGAATGATTCTTGGCATTTTTGTTGTTTCAGTTAAAGTGAGACTATTTAACACGTGATGGATTGCCACATATGGGTATTTAAGACTCTTAAGTGGATGTGACATATCAAAGAGACTTATGTTGACTAATAAGAAGGATAATACTGAGGTCAAAATCAAACAAATCGAAGTGCAGACAGCAGAGATAATTCAGTTGAGCCTAGGTACTCACAGTGTTTGTTCAGGATTTGGTGGTAATTAAGAACCATCACTCGGGGCCAGCAGGTGGTGGGGTGGTTAAGGCTCTGGACACTCCCACATGGCTAACCACAATTCGAGTTCCAGACCTGGCGGCTTGCTTTCTCACGTTCCCTCTCTCTTTCTCTGTGTCTCTCTCTGGTCAAATTAAAATAAATAAATGAAAAAATAAAATAAATATTTAAAAAAAAAGAACCGTCACTCACTGTCAAATGATCTGATTTAAAGAGATATACAGTTTTTTTTTTCATTAGCCTGGTGCATAAACCATAATAACCTGGAGACCCCCTCAAAGAAATATAAAGATTTAGAAACCTTAGAAAAGTTGGGGCCGGCAGGTGGTGTGGTGGATAGGGGCGCTGGGCGCTGGATTCCCACATGGCCAACCATGGTTCGTGTCCTGGACCTGGTGGCTTGCTTTCTTGCTTTCCCTTTCTCTCTCTCTCTCTCGCTGATAAAATTTAAAAATAACAATAACAAATGGAATTAAATAAATAAATAATTCTGTAAAAATTACTTTATAAAAAAGAAACCTTAGAAAAGCCAAACCTACTATCCACCACTTAGGATGCCTACGAACCAACTGTTTGCTACTGCTATAAGGCACATTGTTTCTTTGAAAAATGTCTTTGGTGGCAGTGCCTAAGGAAACCTGTTGGTCACCATTTTAATTAAGCTTTATGTAAGAGCAGAATCAGGGAGAAGATAGATACAGCATCCAGTTTGGTTCTGCACTTTGTGTAAGCCTCCAGTAGGGCAAAGAGACCAGAAGCTGGACAACGTTCCATTAAGTGCCTTTGTTGAACGGAAAGCCTAATGACCAGATCGTGAAAGGTTCGGTTGAACTTGAGTGTTAACTGCCCTTTGAAGGTTGGCTTCTCCTTGCCTGAACCCTCGATGGGTCTGGTTGTCTATAAAGTCCGCCATTTCTCAGAGCCCCCGGAAAGCCCAGTGGAAATTAGTTTATCTTCATCTAATTCAAGGTTGCTGCAGATTTTGATTGGTAACTGTTTTGGCGTCTGATTATGGGAGGTAGTTCGGGGACCTTCACAGGAAGCTATTCAGGAGGCAGGAGTGAGCCAGGACAAACAGCAAGATCCCACCAGTGAGAGGCAGAAGAGAGTAAACCAACGTCCAGACCTAATATAGGCCCTTGGGTGCTGGAAAATAGAGCCACCTAGTGGCTACCCATAGGTCACCATAGCTCCTGAACAAGATTCAATAGGAAGTTACTTTTACTTTTGTGGTCCTGGTATGACATGCTAAAAGGACGTAAAACCACATTTAGTGGAAAGGACACTGATGGGCTTAACCCAAAAATTTTACACAAGCAATTACTTTTACACATATAGGTAGTCCCAAGTCTTCGGTTCATGATGCTCAGAAGTACAACACACTTTTTGCAGACATGGCTCAGATAGGTTTTCTATATTTGGTAGAAGTTATGTTATTAAATGAAAAGGTTAGTGAGTAAAGGAAAGGAAATACCTAAAGTCTACAAATATCAAGGATAACTTTCCACTCTTCATTTGAGGTTTTGGAGTGACTATCACTGGGAACACAAAGAGGCGTTGGCTTTCATGAAATTACTTCCTGGGACTTTTTGGGCATTAATCCATAAACCCAACAGTAGCTCCAGTTTTTTGTTACAATAGGAGATTTAGCTAAAACCATCTACAGATTAGAGTCCATGAATTTTCCTTTAAGAAAAGAGAAAGAATTATGACAGCAGGAAAGAAGGGAAAAAAGAAAAAATAATAAATTTCATGATTGGCAAAGAAGAGAAGTCTTGATCCATGATCTTGGGGAAATGTTTGTGTCTAGGATCCCATCTACTTCTGAGGAGAAACTTCCTGTAAGCTTAAGGACTCAAAAAAAAAAAATGCATATTTCCTAGAGTTTTAAGAAGTCCTCTTGAGGGACCAGCAGTTAGCGTAATGGCTATGTCACTGGAATCCCACGTAGGCGACCGCAGGTCAAGTTCTGGACCCGGTGGCTTAAACTCACACCGGGCGCATGTGCATGCATGCCCAAGATCCTGAGAGGAGAATGGAGGAGAAGGGATTGCGGCATGGCCAACCCCTGGGGGGTGATTTCTCACTTTCTATTTCTTTGTCTCTGTTTGTCAGGCAAGCGCACACACCCTATAGCAAAAACCTCTCCAAAAAAAAAAAAATAGAAGTCCTCTTGAATCTTGAGATGTGGACACAAGACTCAAGTCCCTGAAACTTTGCTGCAATGTGGATGAGAAAAGCTTGGTATGGCCCCTTCCAATAGGGTTCAAAAGCAACTTTTCTCAGGTGTCATTTCCAGAAGACCCAATATCCAGATTGTGAAAGGTTTGGTTGTCCTCAGTCAATGGATCACAAAAAGCTTCTTTTACCTGTTGATCACACACTTTGACATAAGGCATTAAAGCCTTTAAGTATTGGGGCCAGCAGATAGCAT